TCAAATAAGGCAACATGCCCAACATCAGTCTCAACAACAACATATCATAAATAGCGGAAAACATAAACAGCATCCAAATCCAGTCATGCTAACATAAAGCAGTAAAACATAATCAGCTAAGCTCCGGCCTCCTGCCACCTGAGGCATCAGTACCCATACTACCTGATCCTGAAATAAGCATTCCCCAAACGTGGGGTAAGATCTCTAATCTAGAAATCTCAGTAAGTCAGTGAGTCCTCAAGGATCTTCCACCCCAAGCTCACTTACATGTGCAATATAAGTTCAAAAGCAGTTTATCATTTATCATTTCTAAAACAATTCAATGCAGCAGATAATCATGCCATGTGTGTCAATACTAATCTACTGGCCAGAGACAGTGCAGGTATACGTCTATCACCTACACACCGTGCAAGTACCACTTGCATTCACCCCGGTACACCGTCTTGTATAGCGCTACATACTCAGGCTTCCCGTCAAGATGAAACAACACATGCATATTAAAAGCCATTACATGTAAAGTTCAATCAACATATCAAATATCCAAAAGCATGTACACAACATGCATAAACCATACCCCCATGGGACATGGTGGAACCACAACATGGCTAAACCGAGGATACGAAAGCTTACCTTGCAAGCTAACTCCAAAAGCCAAGAGTCCACAGCTCAAAGTCCAAACACAGCAGATTCACAATCTGTTATGGACCAATACTATATCAATAACATGTACCACATGCATACAAATTAAAGACAACGCCTTTTCATTACGCATTATGTCTTGAGGCTTCTCACCAAACCATAAGCCCTTAATCACTTGATTCTGACTTAGTTTAATTAAAACAGAAGTTCAACTTCCTCAATCTAGGGTCCACAAACCCCCAATAGCCTACTGTCCTCATAGCACAGCTACTGTTCTTCGGAATCCCAGAATATCCGGATATTCCTTGGGGCATATCCGGATATCACATATCCGGATATCCAGAATCCCATATCCGGATATCCAATATCCGGATATCCAAATCCCATATCCGGATATCACATATCCGGATATTCATCGGGCAGATATCCGGATATTTCACGACAGAATGCAGAAACTGCATTTCTTGAAGATATCCATCAAGGTTGGGTTTTTAACGATTTTAAGCACCTAAACATGCATTTCTAGGTGTGTTCAACATTACCCAACAACAAGCAATCATCTTTTAGCCTTTAGATGCATCAAGGTACCATTTTAAGTTCAAAGACTCAAGACCAAAGGTGACAAGGCTTACCAAAACTCAACCAACCAACAAGAGGTGCTCTTGGAGCTCAAAAGGTCACTCCAAGGTTCTGTCTCTCTCTGCACACGAAAATGGTATACCAAGGTGGTCCTTTTACTCAACAAGAAAGCTCCTTTAAGCCTCAAAACCCAATGAGCAAGGAGGCACTCCACCCAAACCCCAACTCAGAACACAAACAACCCACAAACAGTGGCCAAACCTCAAGCACAGCACCCTCACACCCTCTCAAGATGTTTCCCAAGTGTTTCCCAAGTGAAAGGATGAAGAAAATCAAGAAAGATCAAGACTTGGTTCAAGAATGGAAGGAAAGGCCAATAGAGCAGTCACCAAGCAGCTGGTCAGCTCCCTCTCACGTTGGTTTTCTGTTTTCTAGGGTTATGTGCCCTTAAAAATGGGTATTTATAGCCCAAGCCACTTAAACACACAGTATTAACTTTAATTGATACGCTTAGCATTTTAATCCCAAACTTTGGATTATGAAACTACATAATTTTCTAAGATTTATCATATTTTTCTTATAATTTTCTGAGTACCTTTGCGGTACGCGCTTTTCCAAGCCAGTACCGGTTTCTAGCACCAGTTCTCATTATCTGGACTTGAAACTCGTTTTACAAGTCCTACATATTATTCTAGTAATTAACATGCACTTACTTTAATTTTCCGGGACACTTTTTCGGTACTCATTTATACCGACTAGCAAAACTGGTATCTGCACTTTTCTTCCGAAGAGCGACTTTCAACAATATTACCCACTTACTATAATTATTAAAGCCTCATAATAATTATTATGGTCAATTATGGAATCATTTCCTATTGTCTCATAATTTATTAATTAAATTCCTTAATTAACGGTGCGGGTTCTTACACTGTCCTGACAAGAAGAGGGGATTACAATTATCTTGTTTACTCATCAACATGATTTCATATGAAAAACTCAAGAGGAACAACATTCTACCATAAAACAGAGACAAAACACCAAAGTGTATAAATAACACAGAAAAAAACACAACATAAAACATAATGCAAGTTAAAAAATCTTACCTAGTCTTTATGTTTCACGAATTAGAGCATTTTTATGGTGCAATCCACACGCCTGGGGGAGGGGTTTGGGTTGTTCTTCTGGAGGATATTCGATTTGGGGTTTGGGATAGGGGTTTAATCGACTAGGGTTTCAATATACCCCCTCTGCGAAATGAGGGGTTTTAAAAAACATTTCCGCCGAAATTTAATCGACTCAATAATTATTGTAGTCCATTAAACATCCCGAAGTTTAATCGATCAAGGTGCATTTTTAATCGATTAATTTTCGCGTCAATGCAGTTTCTCAATTTTGACCATTTAATCAACTAAACCTTCAAGTTAGTCGATTAAAGAGGGGAAGGTTGGTGGATAGTTCTGGGTGAGGGACAAATTGGTTATTAATTAATTAATTAGGGGAAAAACGGTCAAAAAGCCCTTGTATTAAAGTGTGATACAATAAATTCTCCCAAAACTTTAACCTTTTTGTGTGAGATAATATGTTTACATGAGAATTATTTGAGCTTCAAAATATGGATAATATATATGTATATATATATATATATATATATTTATGAATTCATTTTTTTTATAGTGAACGCAGATAAGTTATCTCCATTGAGTCCAAAATGATGTCATTTTTGGTGAAAATCAAGATGCTTTTGTAATTATAATTTATTCCAAGGCTACAATAATCTTTATCATTATAATATTTTAATTTTTCAACCCAAACGACGTCGTTTTAGGAGTGAATGCAGATAACTTATATGCATTAACTGTAGAAACATTAAAGCATATATATAGGGTTCATTTTTTCTGCGGTCAATGTAGATAAGTTATCTATATTGAATCCAAAATGACGTCGTTTTAGGACAGAAATCAAGGTATTTTTGTAATTATAATTTATTTCAGGGTTATAATAATCTTTCTCATTATAATTTTTTAATCTTTCAACAAAAAACGATGTCGTTTTGGGAGTGAATGTAAATAAGTTATCTACATTCATCATAGGAATATTAAAGTCAAATATATATATATATATATATATATATATATATATATATATATATATATATATATATATATAGGGATTGTCATTTCTGCAACTACTGTATATACATCAATTAAATTTGAAAAATCAGAACCTTCTGTATAAGGGTGGCAATATGGGTTGAGCCTGACGGGTCAACCCGCCAAAATGGGGCGGGTTGGGTTGAGGTTTTCAACCCACCAACCCACCTCAATCTGCCCCGCCTAGAAGTGGGTCAAAACAGGTTCAACCCGCCGTGGGGCGGGTTGACCGGCCAGGTTATAATTTTTTTTTTTTTACAATTAGGTAGTATTTCATTAGTCCTTAAATTTTTGTGATATCTAATTTTTTTTTTTATCTTAGTACTTCCTAGAAAAAATAAAGAATAACAATTTTATTTATGACAAATGTTATCTATATATAAATTTCTAAAGAATGTTTGAGAAATATTAGTATACATTTAAGATTGAGATTAAAAAAATATAGAAAAGTGTGAAATAAAATAAAATAATATTAGAAAAATTCATAAAATATAATTGATTTTTGAATTTTAATTATTTTTTTTAATTGGCGGGTTGGTGGGTTGACCTGCCAACCCGCCAACCCACCATAAAACGGGGTGGGTTCATTTTTTCAACCCATATTTTCTGGCGGGTTGGTGACGAGGCGGGGCGGGTCAACCCAAATTGCCACCCCTACTTCTGTATATACAATTAAATTTGGAAAATCAGAACCATATAAAGGTAGGTGTAGGGAATCAATGGTCAAGATTAATTGTTGTACATACAGCAGCTGCAGAAATGATTTTATCATATATATATATATATATATATATATATATATATATATATAACCGTTAGATGCACAAAAATAATGGATCAGGATCATCTTACACCACAATTCAATCGTTTATTTTTGTGCATCTAACGGTTATATATATATATATATATATATATCCATTTCTTTATTTTATTTTTTTATTTTGTACTTAAATTGAATTTTCTTTGTTTTCTTAAAAAAATGATATAATAAGAATTGAATTCTAGACTACACCATTTAATGTAGGCTCTAATAATAATTTTATTATAATAAAGTTGTTCAAACTCAAAATCCGTGGTTGAACATTATTTCTGTAACATCACAAACCCAAACTCAACCATTCTTTGTATGCACATATATATAGCTTGCCTGTCAACAAATCAATAAAATGGGTATAATCCCCAATCCAAAAAATTCCTACGTCTTCAGCAGCTCTCCTCAGCCATTTGCAAAGAAAGTGTTACGTACAGTAACTGATGAAAAACATTATTGCTATTGCTAAGGCTATTGTTGGGGTTGTTAGTGAATGGTGTAAGTGATTGTAATAGTTAGTGTCACGTGTTATTGAGCAACATAAAAGCACCAATGTTACACTCTACCTGAGCAACAGGAATGAGAGAACAAAAAGTACAACAAAAATGGGTAAAAGTTTCAATATTATTCAAGCATGAAATGGTTACATTGTTCTTCTGACTTTTATACTTCACCTTAATACCCATATACTACCCGGGATACATCCCACGTGGCTTTAACTAACGATTTTACACACTCACACACGTAACACTAACTATTACAATCACTTACACCATTCACTAACAGCTCTAACATTAATAGCCTTATAGCAATAATGTTCTTCAGCAGTTACTGTAAGTAACAGAAAGTTTATTTTTCTTAGGCATATACCACATTGCACATGTCACAAATGCTATGAAATTAATCAAACTAAGTGTGGTAAGCAGTGCATAGAACAAATCAAGCCTACCCTTATTTATATTGTTAGCTAGCCAACCTTGACCATCTTGTGACCCAGTTACTTTCTTCACAACCGAGACAAGGACACTACTGAAGAAGAAACCAAGTGATAAAGTTGTGAGAAAGAGACCAGTGCTTATTGTTTTCATTCCTTTTGGCGATTGTGTTATGAAGAAACCAAGTTGTCCAGTGTATATGAATGCTTCACCAAAACCCACCAATATGAACTGTGGGATTAGAAGGAAAACGCTTATAGGGAGTGTTGTTTGGTTGCCACTTACACCTTTTGCCACAGACAAACGTTTCCTTTCGCATAGATAAGCAGCTGTCATAGCAAAAGTGGAAAATACAAGTCCAATTGCTATCCTTTGTAGGTTTGTGAAACCTGAGACATGGAGAAAAATAAAATATATGTCACTACATTTCATAACATGGTTGCTTTCATTTTAAACGTTAATGATTTGGTTCTAATTTTTTTATAAATTATATATATATATTTATTTAATAAGGGAATACCCTATAATATTAAAAATGTATTGCAAGTGAACACAAGCAATTTTCTTAGAGACATGCATAGGTACCAACACTTAATGTGGGTACACATGCTGCTTTCTGCTATATATCTAATAATATAATGATTATTTAAATGATGACAAAATCATTTCATATTGAATAATATCATTAATTAATATGAGTAGCTAGGTTTACTAAGTGCATGGCTGTTGATCTAATTTTTTGAAATTAATATTGCCCTCCTGTCTTTTTGTGTAAAGTCAAATTAGTAGAGGAAGAAAAAATAAATTAAAGTAAAGGCAGTGCACAATTTTTGAATTTGAAGAACACATAATTGATGGTACAATAAAGTCAAGAAATAAAATATATATTGTTCCCTTCAGAAGTTATAATTTTTTTCACTTACTAAAAATTCTTCTATTTTAATTGTGTAGTGTTTTAGTACTTAATTTTCTCTGCTCTATTTTTGTTGTGTGGTATTGTCTCCCAAACTTCTACTCAAATTTTTTTTACCTGATTTGCCATTCCACTTTTTCCAAAGGGGCATGATGAGTCTGTCATACACAGCAAGAGTGATTAGTATTGTTCCCACCAAGAAGACAGCGAGAGAGCCTGGTGGGACTTGGAAGCTCCCAATATTCCTTTCCATGGTGGAAGCTTGCTCAACTGAAAAGGTGATCATCTGTGCATGTATGGTCCAAAACATTATGGTTGTGGTCCATATTGGCAGAAGTCTAACCATCATTTTCACTTCTTCGACCCTTGTCAATGAGCATAGTTTCCACGGATTTGGAGCAGAATCAGATAAATTCCTCTCAAAATCACCTTCTGCCACAATGGCAGCTTTGTCCAAGAAACTATATAATGGAAAGTGTTCAAAAAAAAAAAAAAAGAGGAAGTTATTTAAATAATATTGTCAAACTAGGTGTCTATCTCCCTTTGAAAATCTTAATTACATCCACCTATTTAATGCACGAGAGAGATTTAAACATAATTTTTATGTAATCAGGTCATGTGAAAATTTAAAACGAGAGAATGTGTTTCCAAAAGGAGTTTTTTTACCCTTCTGGTACAAAAATACAAACATTTCATTGGTTTAATTATTTTAACAAATTATTTATCAATGTAATGCTAGTGAAATGTACATATAGAGTGTGCAAGTGAAACACGCATATGGAGTGTGTCGTTTAAGTCGCCATCACCTCCACGCATATCTTGTGCAAAATTCAGCTTAATGCAAGACGCACATCCTAACACAAAAGGATATTGGGTGATGCATGACTTAAACGTACAGATTTTCCATGCTCGTTTCACTCACAGGTAATATGTCTTGAATTTTGCATTAAAAGGATAGATGAAGATAAGCTTACTGGAACTGATTGATGTGCTCTATTCTTGAATCCTGGGGAGTGTTATCATAAAAAGAGCTATATAATTGAAAATATTCAAAAAAAGGAAATTATTTAAACAATATGGTAAAATTTCGTATCTATGTCCCTATGTAAATTTTAATTAGACCCACCTATTTCACGCACAAGAGAGATTTAGACACAATTTTCACGTAATAAAGCCATGTGAAATTAATTTTAAAATGAGAGAATTAGTTCCCAAAAGGGGTTTTTTTACCGTTCTTATGCAAAAGCACATACATTTCATTAATTTAATTCTTTTAACAAATTATTTACTAATGAAATGAGAGTGTATGTTTAAATAGCGTTCATGAGTGTCTTGCAAAGCGTGAGACGTGACAGATGTGTTTTGACTTTTGTACAAGTCGCGTATAGGATGATGTGCGACTTAAACGTGTAAATTCCCCGTACGCATTTCACTCGTATTAAAGTGTAATGCATTTCACTCGTATTAAAGTGTCTTGGATTTTGATAAGAAAGGTCAAAATGCCCCAAAAAGGTAGATGAAAATAAGCTTACTGAAGCTGATTGGTGTGCTCTATTCTTGAATCCTGTGGAGTGTCATCATACAAAGAGATAACATTGTATGGTAGTTCCATCTTCCGTTTCCTTATTGCTGCAACAATAACTTGGAAAATGTGGACAATGGGACTTCCCAAACTTTTCTTGTATCTGTATCTTTTAGTTCCTGATAAGAATACCAAATTGGCTATGACCATAGAAACAGAACATATTCCATAAGCCCAACTTCTACTCACTTCATCTTGTATATAAATAAGTACTGTGACAGCTGCCAGAGTTCCCAAACTGATGAAGAAATAAAATCTGTTGAAGAAATAGGCCATTTGGGATTTCTCCTTCTCATCTTTCTCATCAAATTGGTCTGAACCAAATCCTGAAACACTAGACTTTAGGCCACCAGTTCCTATTGCAATGAGGTATAAAGCCATGTATAAGATTCCCATTTGGAATCCATTGGCTTGTTTGCAATTATCATTGATAGGGGTGGCATGGCAAGGTGGTGGACTTAGCTGTGGCAATTTTGTTGAGATTGCTAATGTGGCAGTACCCTGAAAATCACCATCCCCTCCAAGTTAAAACTAGGACTCTAAGAAAAAAGGATTTAAAGGTAATAATATGGAATATGATTATAAAAGTTGTGGTACTGGTTTCACATTTAAATTTTAAGACTATAAAAGTTGTGGATAAATTATATATCACATGTCTTCATGTAGTCTTAATTTTAAATGACTATGCTAAAAGTTATTGTGTGAATTTGATGGAACATTTACAGCATGTTTCTGACTTTCTGTCACCACCTTTATGGTAACCTGACTTAACATTTTATAATTGGATACAATACTTCTTTCTTATGGGTGATTTACTCTACAGAGCTATGCTACTAGGTTGTGCATTTTTCTCCACATATAGTGATAATTAATAATGCTTGGCTTTGCTCAGAAAAATTTTCAGCTGCATATAAATGAATAGGTCAAAATTTTATGAGAATAGTTAGGTTTAAAACCAGTGGTAATGTAACTAACCAGTGTTTGTATTGTAGTAAAGATTGCAATTGTCTTATATCTTTCAAGGAAGGAATCTGCTAGAAAACCTCCAAGCAAACACAATAGATATGTTGTGCCTACAAAATCAGTGACAATATTGGCTGAAGTTGAGCTTGGAATATGCATGATTCCAATCAAATATGTCACCAGGTTAACTGCAATCCCCATGGTGCAAAGCCTCTCAGCCATTTCAATCCCTGAAACAATTTTGAGAACTAACTTATATTCTTAGTTTTTATGTAACTTATTCTATGAAAAATAATATTGGTAATTAGTGGAGTGGACAAAGTCACGTGAGATGATCTTAGTCGTTCATAGATAAATCAATTGTTGTTCTTTTCTCATTTTCTATTCTAACACTTTTTCTATGTCATTTTTCATGACCATTGACTTGTCTATAAACGGCTGAGATTTCACGTGAGATCATGTGACATGGGAAGATTTATTTTGGTAATTAGTTACATCCTCTTCTTCAAAAGGAAAAAAAAAAATATGATCCCTTGTTATGGAAATCTCTCTACTCCTCTATGTTGGCTACTTCCAAAGTGAACTATTGAAAAAGCAGATGATGTATGGAGAAAGTAAAAATCAACTTTTAGAAACTGGATTGATAAAGTAAGATAAAATATAGTTATAGATGAAGTGGGATATCGTTATCTTCATTCATATCACAAAAATGTAAAATATTATGCTCTTTACGCCCAAGTCCAAACAAAAAGTGACATGAGTTGTCCTCAAACAGAAGTATCTATTTGCTTTAGTCAATATGTTCCACTTCCTTTGTCCCCTTTCTCAGCTGCAATCACCACACCAAAAACATTACAGAATCAAATGGAGTATTACAGCAAGTTAGTACATAAAATCATTTGTGGCCCCCAACTAAAATTTTTGGAGAGTTGATTGATTGATATGTTCCATAGTGTTAAGAGCCTTGAGTGGACGTGTGTAAAAGAATAAAATCATTTACAATTCTCTACTTATATAAAGGCTAAAGCTTTTAAAAGTGTTATTCTTTGTCAAATGTAAACTTCTGGTGAAAAGGGAAGGTGATCCAAGAATTGATCACATTCTCCATTCTAATTTCTAAGTACTTTGTGATACACCAACACCCTATCTTTTTCTATGTACATCACCATTTTGATGAACCACCCTATTTCCCTTTTACCCTGATATATGAGAGTCACCAAATTGTAACCAAAATAAATAAATAAATAAAAATGTAAAGATCTTTATCCATGAAAGCATTACCATATGTTACTTCTCACATGATCAATAGATTTTGTCATTTTAGGTCGGTGAAGTATATATTAGTTGGATGGATCTTTCCTCTAATGTATTGCATACTCTTAAGTCCCCTAACTTCTAAGTATGCTGCATAATCAACAGGAGATATGCAGAGGTGACAGATAAGGGTACTACATATGTTCAATATCAACGTCACATTTATCCTAAAGTATTTGGATCCAAAATCTATGTATCCATATAAAAATATGAACAAGTTTAGAAAAATAAATAGAAAATAAGAGTAAGAGTACAAAGTCTTACAGTAAAGATAAGATATTTCACACTCAATTTTACTTGTTGATTATTTTGCATCTAATAACTCACATAACTAATAAATTAGAATCATTAAATATAAGTATAGATTAACAACTAAAACTGAGTGTAACATGTGTAAATTGATCCGCTAAAATATATAGAGAGAGAGGATCTTTTGATTCCAATGTAAGATTAAGAAGTCTTACTCCTCATTCCAGTCTTCGATTTCCGTCCATCTAACGATTATTAATCTTATACTAGAGTCAAAAGATCCCGCCTCATATATTTATATTACAAACCTAAAATTAGAGCAGCGGGCACCCAACCGCCTGTTTTGGACTTGTCAGCAGGAAAACCTTTGTAGTTCACAGCATCTGCAACAGTGCAACTCATCTTCCCCTCCTGAAATATGGGTACAAAACATTTTCAAAAAGCAGGTAACATTTTAATTTAGTGCTTCCATTAACCAAAATTTATTTAGACACTGATCACAAATGCAGTACTAACCATTTTCTGAAGTTCTAGGAAGCAAAAGAACTATAGGTGCTAAAGTAAAATGCTAAGAAATTTTCCTCTTCAAAAACTTCAACTCATAACTTAGGCTTGTAGTGAGAGCTTACCAATTTATAGGCAAACATGACCCAACAATTACCAGTAATTCCGAAAAAGTGTCCTACCACTATATGTATTTGAGACAGATTGCTACTTTTTCCTTTTATAAAGGTAGGGATTAGAATTGATGGAATTTTTAGTGGAAGGTTAAAGACAGATTCAGATTATGTTTTCTGGTCATGTTTTAATTTAAAACATTATTAACTAAACATAAAAGTTGTATTGATTGACGAGGAGAGAATTGAAGAATGTGTGGAATATAGAGCATGCAATAGTAACAGCATGCAATAGTAACAGCATTGCAATCCTGTTTCTTCTTTTATGGCACAAATGTGGGACATATTGATTTGAGTTTTGAAGGCTGTGAACCACTCTTTCAAATGCTTTCGGTACACCACATTTGAAAAGGATATCTCCCCTTTAGTTTTTCTTTTCTTTTCTATATGTGTAGATAGAAATGGGAAGGGACATCTTTGTAGATTGACAAGCATAGAAAAAGTCTCTTTTTTCTTGGTTCAACATTTGAAGGTTCAAGTTTGGCTTATTGCTTGATATTCTAGGAAAAAAGTTTCTATTTCTATAGAAATTTTTTTTTTGACACTCACGTAAAAGTGAATAAATCTCATTACAAATAGAAAAAAAAGAAAAAGTTTATGGAATTCATTCATTTTTACGTGAGCGTAACAAAAAGAATTATGATGCAAAAACAGAAATGTTAGAACCATTCTATAATTACAAAAGGAAAAAGTAACTAAACTATGCTAGAAATTGAAATCCTTCAACAAATACATAATCAGAGAGTTAGTTGAAGTGCTTGACACAAATAATATGGCTATGTCATGTGAACAATCTTGACAAATTATAATCATAATTTAATCAGTAGTGGAGCCAAGGAGGTGGATGATTGCCCCCCTTAAACTCATATAAAATTTTATCATAAACCACATTCAGAGTTGAAAAAAAAATATAGCCTAAGTTTTTCTCTTAAGCTCATACCACGCGTACTGTCTCCCCTCAAGCTCAGCCTTCCAGCTTTTGTCCTTATACTCATCGTATACGAAGAAAACTTAAAACTTCTTCAAATCTGACTACATATTAATCTATTATCGTGTAACTTTGTCCAAGTTAATGTAAATTTTGTTTCCTTTATCCCCTCTCACAAAATTTTCAGACTCGGCCGTTGACTTTAGCAAAACTTCAAAAAAATTCTGTAATTTTACTCATAATTATTTATCTCTTTCCAAAATTTTGAATCATTTATCTTTTTGATTTAAAGTTTTTTTATTATTTACCCCTCTAAGTGAGGGGTAAATAATAATAAAAAATTTAAATCAGAGAGTAAGTGATAAAAAAAATCTAAATAAAAATGTAAATAATTCAAAAATTTTGTGAGAGTAATAATTGATAATTAAGAAAATTCCTAAGGAGTTTTTAAAGTTTTTCCTTCACTTTAATAACAAAAGCATTTTTTTTCTTTGTATTGTGGCGTGGATACAGTCCGCTTACCAACTATGCCACACGTTTGAGTTAACACAAGCACTTTTAATTAATCGATTAATAAATGCTTAAAAGTTTTTACACAATGTGACATCCTTTTCCAATTGATACATGTCCACAAATTTGAGAATGAACGTTGCATGTGGAACGTCACAACTCAAAATAATAATGTATAATCATTATCCATGTGCACCATGTACTGCACGTGCAGGGCATTGTCACACGTACCAATAACATCACCAAGACATTTATGCCATCTAGCCATAGAGGTGGCAAAGTGGGCGGTCCACCCCGCCCCATCCCGCCATCAACCCGTCAAAAAATGAGTCAGCTGCCCCGCACCGCTTCGCTTTTGAAAGTGGGCTGAAAAACTCAGCCCACCCCGCCCCGTTTAGCAGGTTGGACGGGTTGGCCCGCCAGTCCGAGTCTATTTTACACTGACCCGCCTCGGCCCGCCTATGCCCACCATCAACCCGCCAAAAAATGAGCCCGTTGAGATGGGTTGAAAAACTCAGTCCGCCCAGCCCCGTTTGGCGGGTTGGGCGGGTTGACCCGCCGAGCCGAGCTCGTTTTGCCGGCTCTATACCCACATGCAACATTATGGAAAAAAAAAATAGTACTCCAATATTTCAGGGTGATGGTGGTCAATGAAACACGTAAATAGACAATTGTAACACCTTGTGTATACCCGATAATATTATCATACTATCGTATTAAGTTGCGCTTAATTAAAAATTGCGGAATATCTTTTTCTTTTCCAATTATGACGTCATTATACTTAGCCAAGTTGATTATTTAATCAATTTCATAAAAACAATGCATGTATGTAAATTGCAAGACAACAACTGAAATACCTCAATATCAAATATAAAGTGAGTATCTAAGTCACGGCATTACATCACGTAATTCGGACAATATCCTGATACATTAATACAACTTCAACTAAAACAAGACATAACAAGTCTACGTGGCATGGACAATCCTCACGCTCACCAAATCAACAACATAACGACAGAGTCTCAACAAGATAATCCAAAATCATAAAATGAAGCTAAAAGCATAAAAGCAGCAAGCATATCCATCATCCAACATGTCAGCATATAATATCATCAATATCTAATTCGGCTCCGGCCTCCTGCCGCCTGGGGCCTCAACCCCCACATTACCTGATCCTGAAATAAGCATTCCCCAAACGTGGGGTGAGATCTCTAAACTAGAAATCTCACTAAGACAAGGGGTCCTCAAGGATCTTCCACCCCAAGCTCACTTACATGTGCAATATAAGTTCTAAAAGCATTTATATCAATATAAGTTCCAAAACTATGCAGTGCAACAGATATTCATGCCATGTGTGTTTAAACTATTCTACTGGCCAGAGAAATGCAGGAATACATCTATTACCCACACGTAGTACAAGGAACACCGCTTGCACCTCACCCACAGCCTCACCATGTTGTATGTACCACATACTCAGGCTTACCGTATAGGTGGAACACCACATGCATATCATAAAGGCAGTAGCATAACAACTCAATAGCATTTCCAAAACATCAAAAGCATGTAACACAGCGTGCATATAATCATACCCCCAAGGGATATGGTGGAACCACAACATGGCTAAACCGAGGACACGAAAGCTTACCTTGCAAGCTAGCTATCCAAACCAAGAGTCCACAATCTCAAAGCCCAAACACAGCAGTATCACAATCTGTTATGGACCAATGATACATCATTAATCAAACTCTACAAGCATGCACTCAAAGACAACGTCTTTCCTTTACGTTTTACGTCTTAAGACTTCTAAGAAAGCCACAAGCCCTTAATCACATGATTCTGACTTAATTTATTAATTACAAAAGTTCAACTTCATCAATCTAGGGTCCACAAACCCCCAATAGCCTACTGCACACACAGCACAGCTACTGTTCTACGAAATCCCAGAATATCGGGATATTCCTCGGGGCATATCCGGATATCTCACTGTACATATCCGGATATCAATATCTGGATATCCAGATCCCCATATCCGGATATCCAATATCCGGATATTTCACGATCAGATATCCGGATATTTCACGATCAGATATCCGGATATTTCACGACAGAATGCAGTTCCTGTATTTCGTGAAGATATCCTTCCAAGGTTCCATTTTTAACACTTACACACGTTAAAGCATGCATTTTTAGGCACATTAAGGTTCATACAACTGTTGGTTACTTGTTTAACTCATTAAACATACCAAGACACCTCTTTTAATCATCAAAACACAAGATCAAGGTTGGTGACACTTATCAAAGCTCAAAACAGAGCAAGAATGGCTCTTGGAGCTCACAACTAGTTCCCAAGATTCTGACTTGGAAGGGTGCACGAAAATGCACAACAAGGTGGTTCCTTTCTTCACAAAGAAAGCTCCACGAAGCTCCACAAAGCCAAGGTAAAGGCCCCTACCTCACCAACAAGGAACACAGCCCAACCACACTCCCTCACAGCAGCTGGATACTCAGAAAAAGGAGTCTCACTCACTCACAAGGCTACTCCCCACAACCACAAGGTGTTTAGTTAGAGAAACCAAGAGTAAAAATGGCTCCTTAGGTTCAAGAGAGTGAGGGAAGGTGAAGGTGACAAGAGGAGAAGCACTCAGCTGCTGGAGGACCAGAAACTCACGCTCAAGACAAAAGGAATTGTCCTAGGATCATGTGCCTATCATATAAATAGTCACTTAAGCTTAAAACACACAGTATTAACTTTATTAGCTACACTTAGCATTTTAATCCCAAATTTTGGATTCTTAACCTACTCAATTTTACAAGAATTATCATATTTTTATTATATTTTTCGGAGCACCTTTCTAGTACGCGCTTTTCATAGCCAGTATCAGTTTCTGGCACCAGTTCTCATTATTTTGACTTGAAACTCGTTTTACAAGTCCTACATATTATTCAAGGAATTATAATGCACTTATTATAATTTTCCGGGATACTTTTTCGGTACGCATTTATACCGACTAGCAGAATCGGTATCTGCACTTTTCTTCCGAAAAGCGACTTTCAGCATTCTTAATCACTTATCATAATTATTAAAGCCTATTAATAATTATTAGGGTCAATTATGGAATCATTTCCTAAATTAACATAATTAATTACTTAATTTCCTTAATTAACGGTGCGGGTTCTTACAACAATCCTCCTTTTTGGATCGCAATTTGCTTGCACATTCTTTCTAGTAGGGTGCTAAATATTGGGTATGGTTGATACCGAGGGTTTTAATTGTCGGGATCAGCAGAAAGACAACTGGGATCTCACTTCCAGGTGAGCGTGCAAGGGTCGGGGGCAGCGCCCCCAGGCCCGTAAAGACTAGGTACTTGATGTGCCTTCAGCATATAGATATTTCAGCGTAAAAA